CCTATATTTCCTGGATATTTTGTGTTAAGGATTTGTTAAATTTAAGACTTTCTTTTGTCGATGAATCTATTTCCTCTAGTTTGTCTTCAGTGCACGAGATTCTGTCTTTCATCTCTTGTATTCTGTTAGTTATGCCTGCATCTGTAGTTCCTGATTTTTTTTTAGCCTTTCGAATTCCAGCATTACCTCAGTTTGTGTTTTTCTTATTGTCTCCATTTCTGTTTTCAGGTCTTGAACAGTTTGAATTGTTTCCTTCATCTATTTGATTGTTTTTTCTTGGGTTTCCTTGCTTTCTTTAATAGATTTGTTGATTTCTTACATTTTTTGGTTTGTGTTTTCTTACATTTCTTTTTTATTTTAATTTTAAATAGCTTGTTTTACATGTCAATCCCAGTCCCTCTCCCTCCCCTCCTCCCGCACCCCCCACCATCCCCCCCCATCCTCCCACCCTATTGCCAATCCTTCCTCATAGGGGATATCTGGAGTCTATCATTTCACTCAGGGTAGGGTCCAGGCACTTCCCTAAGAGTCCAGGCAGAGAGAGCAACCCTCTTTGTGTTATGGACACACGATGTCTGTTAGTATTTGAGGGATAAACACTGATCCACTACTCAGGACCCCATAGATAGCCCAGGCCTCCTTACTGACTCTCACATTCAGGGGGTCTGGATCGATCCCATGCTGGCCTCCCAGCTGTCGGTCTGGGGTCCAAGAGCTCTCCCCTGTTTGGATCAGCTGTCTCTGCTGGTTTTGCCAGCCCATTCTTTGCCAATTTGCTCATCGCTCCTCTCTCTCTGTCACTGGGTTCCTTGGGTTCAGCTCAGTGTTTAACTGTGGGTGCTTGCCTTGGCTTCCATCAGTCACTGGATGAAGACTCCAGGATGGCTATAGACATCAAGTTCACTATCAGGAATGGCCATTCGAGGTAGTCTCTACACTATTGCTTAGCTTGCCAATTGTTTAAGGGATTTTCTTATATCCTCTTTGATTTCCTCTATCACTTTCAGGAGGTTGTTTTGAAGGTCATTCTTTTCTGTTTCATCTGGGTTGATATGTTCAAGTCTTGCTGGTGTAGAGTTTCTAGATCCTAGTGGTGTCATTCTGGTTCTTCTGTTACTGGCTGTGTTTTTATATTGCCTTCTTCCCAGCCTTTCTTTCAGTGGGAGCTCATGGGATCTCTTCCTGTCCTTAAACACAGGGAAAGGACCAGAAGACACAGGTGTGGGCAGACTCAGTGTGATCCTTCCTAGAGGCACAGATCTTCTCTAAGCACAGCAAATGTCTATGGAGAGGGAGCTGTGGATGTAGTGAGTTGGGGCTGAGAGAGGGGCCCACACACACCTTAAGCACTGGGAAAGGACCAGAAGACACTGAAGACTGAGGTGTGGGCAAACTCAGGGTGGTCTTTCTGGGAGGGGCAGGTCTTCTCTAGGTGCAGAAAATGCCCAGGGAGAGGCAGCTGGGGATGTAGGGAGTTGGGGCTCAGAGCAGGCCCCCACTCACCTTAAGCACCAGGAAAGGACCAGAAGACACTCCAGATTATTTTTAAATAACCCCAAATTCAGTAGCATGCTTAGAGAAATGGCATCTCCCTTTCTTTAACTATGACTTCTAGAATTGCATCTTTTTCTTACTGTTAAGAAAACCACGAGTTGATGCAAAAAACACAAGGAGTCCTCCCAACAAAGCAGAAATCTTCACCATGGCTATAAAACTTGACCCCAGAGCTCACAGGAAATAGGATATCAAGGTGAGTGAGCCTCTGCAGGTGTCTATAAGCCCCTTGTCTCCTCAGTTGTAGGAATGACTCATCATTCTAGAAGGTTCTGGAGTCCCAGCATAGGTTTTATCCCCCCCATCATCACAGCTGAAGTTATAAATTAAAAAATCATAAGAGAAAACCTTAAGAGTGGTTCTAGACTCTATTCCTCCCCAAAGACATACATGTATTTGAAATTGAGTCTCATGTGATATTTTATATATTCCTGCAAACATTAAGAAACTCTGTGAGATGATTTGAGAAATACAAGTGGACATTGTAAGAGAATTATGAGTTGGTTGGAGACATAGGGTATTAGGTTCCACTCTGGGGTACTCTCTATCGTGTAGTTAGACCCAGTAAACTTCGGTCAAGATGGACATCCAGTGTTTGGAATGAGCTCCAGCAGATTCTGATTCAGGAATACAAATACACAACTATAATCTGAAAGTATGGGGAAATTCTGCTTGCCAAATTCATTTCATTATGGACATGTGCGTGCCATGGGTACCAAAGGAAAGTCTTCTAAGGACATTTTTTGAACAGTTGAAGCTCATAATAAAAAAACTAAAAGAAAATAATTGGCATAAATATCAGTGTCACCTGGTTCCAATTTTTGGAAGCCTCAGAATTTTTTTTGAAAATCTCTGAAAATTTTTGGAAGTCTCGGAAATTTCCCTTGTCAAAGGGTAAAACTTGATAATTTGTCACTTGAAATGGCATAGCATGTCATAGCTCGCCTCTGTTTCTAAGTGCAGGACAACTTTTGGTTGATGTTGCCAAATTTAACTATGTAACCAAATATTTAAGATTATGAACTGATGAAAAAAAGATAAATGTTTTTCATCTTTGAACATCAAAATCTTCAAGGTTTCTTGCAACAACATATATTACTACATTGCTTATTCTGTAAAATCAATAGTACTCATTTTCTTAAGACTCTGTTGGTTAACAAACTTTAGAGTGAGAGACAAGGACAGTAATCAGTAGCTTCACTTTGATACCACCTTTCTCTTTTTCTTCATTATTGAAGAGGCAAACATAGTTTTAAACATTCAACAGCACAGAAGAACATAAAATAAAAAAATGTAATTTTTGCCAAATTATTTATTTGAGGATCATCCAACAAAGATAATGTGTATTTTTTTTATATTAATATTTTTTTTATTTTCCATTTTAAATTTAGATAAGAAACAAGGTTGCTTCACAAGTCAGTACGAGGTCCCTCTCCCTTTCCCTCCCCTCCTCCTGTGCCCACCCCCCATCCCCCCCCCCCGTTATCCCCTCATTCCCCCAGGGAGGGTGAGGCCCTCCATGGGGGGGTCCATAGTCTGTCATTTCATATAGGGCAGGGCCTAGACCCTTCCCCAAGAGTTCAGGGTGAGAGTGCACCTCACATTGTTCTATGGGAGTCCAGAGACCGTGTGTATACTTGGGATGGGTACTGATCTGCTGTCCAAGGCTCAATAGATTACCTAGGCCTCCTCACTGACACCCAGATTCAGGGGGTCTTGATCAGTCCCATGCTGGATTCCCAGGCTGATGCCTGGGATTCAAGAGTTAACCTTTGTCTGGTCAGCTGTTTCTGGGGGTTCAACCAGCCCAGTCTTAATCCCTTTGATCATCAGTCCTCCCTCTCTGATACTGGCTTTCTTGAGTTCAGCTCAGTACTTAACCAGCCAGTAAATGAAGTTTCTGTTTCCCAGACTCTCTGGCCATAGGATTGTAGGCTGGCACTCCCCAGATCTATGTCTAAAATCCATATATGAGAGAGTACATGCCATGTTTCTCTTTTTGTGACTGGGTTACCTCACTCAGGATGGTTTCTTCTAGTGTCATCCATTTGCCTGCGAATCTCATGATTCCATTAAGATAATGTGTATTACATATATATATTGCACAGAATAAAATGGAAGAATATAAGCTATAGCATGTCTCTGGAGTACAGACATATAGATTCACATTTATTCAATTTTCCAGATTCCTAATTTTTTACAAAAATATGCAAGAGTATTGAGAAAGAAAACAAAAATAGGCCTCTAAGCTTCCAATAGCAGCAAGTGGGTTTTTTCACTGGGGATTCAGTCTAGTATCTTCTATCTCATGGCTCATTTATGTGCTTTTCTGCTAAAGTAACCAAAGGAAATTTTATGCACCTCAACTTCACACAAAATTAATGAGTTTAAGTGGCATTTAGGTGTGCAACTGTCAGTTCTATGACTTCAAATTATTTTCATCAACTTCCTACTAGAAAATCTACAACAGCTAAGCAATCCCTCACTCTGCCCTGGTCTCAATGCCATGTAGGCTCTGATCTCTCCATTTCTATGTACCTACCTATTGTAGGTCACAAGTATGTGACTTTCATATATGCATCCTTACATTTAGTATATTTCTCAAGGTTCATTCACATCGTAGCACAACAGTACAACACTTCCGTTTGTGGTTAAATGTTGCATTGTATTGATAAGCATGTTTGTTCATCCAAACAACAATACGTGTTGGGGAGGAGTTTCCATCTTGGTGAACAGTGTTCTGAGTATTTCTATATAATACAACTGTTTTCAGTTCTTTGGGAGGATATGTCTTATGTTTGGGGGTGTTGGGACTTGTTGTTTGGTTTGAGAGGTTTGGTTTTTTTGGAGGGGGAATGTTTTGTTTTGTTGATGTTCATGCTGTAGCTCAGGCAGTCCTGTGTTTTATTCACTCCTATTCACCCCATTGCAACACCCAAAGCTAAAGAGAGTAGATTGTCAGCAGCTCATTAGTAAACTCATTCACAGCCCAGGTGGAGGGAATAACAGTCACACAGGGGAGGGGGGGCGGGGACTACAAGAGCTGTGTTCAGGAATGGGAGCCATGGTATACAATCCTTTCAGAACCAAGAAGATAGATGACCCCTGGTTCCTACAAGAAGATATAATCCACTTGTCTGAGTGATTCGGCCAGCTGCCAGGTGGCTGAACTCCACCACTCAGAGATAATCAAGGTTGTTTGATCAGAGACCTTGTCTGGGGGATTAGAGTACAGAGGGAAATGCAGAAATGGACCATTATATAGCCTTCTTATTTCATCTTCTGGCTTCTATTGTCACCCACATTCATATGTACATACCAACATGTAGAGACACATACACATAATTTTTTAAGAGGCCATAGATATCCCAGTGCATTCTTGTAATAAACAAAATTTCTAAATGAAAAAATCTTAATTCATAGCTACAATAAGTCTGAACTCCTGGTTTGAGATTCATGGGTTCATGACATATGTGTAGTTCATGCCATGACTTTATTGAACCAACAAATGCCTATCTTCATAAATGTGTCAGCAAACATTTGCAGGAGCAGATCTCAACCTGTGGGTCACAACCTCTTTGGAGATCAAATGACCCTTTCACATGGGTCACCTAAGACCATTGGAGAACACAGATATTCACATTACAATTCATAACAGTAGAAAAATTACAGTTATGGATTCGTAACGAAAATAATTGTATGGTTGGGGGTCACCACAACATTAGGAACTGCATTAAAGGGTCACAGCATTAGAAAGGTTGTGGACCACTGATTTATAGTAACAATCGATCAAAATACTTGGGTTTTGCATTTGATGGGAATTTGATTCCATTTTATTAAACCTTAATTTGAGCCATGTGAGTACTTTACCAAAATATAGACCTACTAAGGGGCTGATATCAGAGTCCAACCACCATTCTGCTCCATCATCACTGTCTGGTCACTGTTCCTACACCACTTAAGTAACATGAAAATGGCAATAATTGAAGTGAAGGTGATGGAAACATGAAGTAATGTGGGTCAAACAGGACCAGTCAGTGAGTCACTGGTATCTTCTCTGTGTATAGTGGTCAGGGGAGGAGCAGGCAGAAACAGTATCTTCTGGACATAACATGAGTTTTGTCCTCATGGACTCTCAGCAGCTGCATAAAACCGGTACAATATCAAATCAGTCAGTATCCCAGCAGGGGAGGGGTTCTGGAACCTCCAATCCTAACTGAGGAGCTATTGACTGCTGATCATTTCTGGGAAAGAAAAAGTCAGGTTTTAAGGGTGCAGCACCTGGAATGTCAATCAGGCTCCAATAGAAGGCCCCACACCTTAGTATGTGGGCAGCACTAATTAGACTTGCTAGTTTTTTGGTTTTGGTTTTAAGGGTGAAGTTGGAAAGCAGTAGGGAACTTGGAGGGTGGATCTTGGAGGAGCTAAGGGGACAAATGGGGTGCACTGAATAAGATCAACATACATTGTATACATATATGAAGTTATCAAAAATAAAATATTATAGTAAAAAATAACTATGTTACCCTTAATAAGATGCATAATAGTCCTTCAAAAAACAGAAGCAGCATTAATGGAAGATTTTTATTCATTAATCAGATTTAATGAAGCTAAAAGCAGGGACAGCTATTTTAAAATGAAACTACATGAAGGTAGCCTGCCATTTTATTTAAAATTGCAAATTAGTGACTTTTTTAAAAAAAATGGATGAAAGAAAACATCATCCAACTATCTGCATTCCTGAGAAATGGAGAAGTGACAACCTCTGATCCATGAAGCTACATACTTCAACAGGCTTCAGCCTGCTGGTTTCAGAGGTCTGGAAATCCTGGGAGACCTGATAGTCTTCACTTGATGTTAAAAAGCTGAAGAGATAGAATATGATGTCATCAGAGGACAGTGGTGACAACTATAAATATGTGCCAGGAATAAGGATATCTAGGTGACACTGCTTCTTCCTCGAACCACCAATTGGTAGGTCTCAACATAGGCTCTACCCACTTGGTTTGCAGATGAGCCCCACCTCACTCGGTTAATCTACTCTGGAAATACCCTTACAGATACACCCAGAGGCATGTCTCCCAGACTCCAGTCTTCAAGTAAGACCAACTATCACAAAACCCAAGAGGGGCATCTCTAATTCCTATGGCATCTTTGGCTAGTAACAGACTAGTAAGACCACTATCATCACTAACAGTTTTAACAAACACAGGAAGGCCTGATCTAGAAGCTGTTCTTTAGTCAAATGGGACACATCCTTAGCTGTGTTCTTGGCATATTTAATCATGTCTGACAAAAGCTGTAAAACATTAATTTGGTGTCTCCTTACTTTAGTGGCACTTCAGGAATAGCTTGTGTTCTCATATCTAGTTCCCATTCAGGAGGATTGCCAGTGAAATCTCCTCTAATTTCAGCTTCACATAAAAGAGGATACCGACTAAAAGTGAGGGAGGAAAACAAAAGTATCAGAGGGGTCTGAAGATCTATTCAGATCTTTAGAAGGCTGCACACTCAGGGCCAAATCCCAGTGACTGGTAGGTTCACTGATCCAAGTGAGTCATGCACAACAGCATAAGTTTATGATGTGTGATTTTAAATCCTAGCTGTAGCAGGCAGTGGCTAACACAGAAACTCACAACTGGTCAAATGCAGAAAACAAGCATCAGTAGAATGATCAGCCACAAATGAGTCATGTATACCACCATCATACACATGCATGTACAAAACTATAAAGGAAGAGGGTGTGGAAAGATGGTTAAGAGCCAAAGGTCAGGGAGGACCAGAGAGAATCTCTCTAAAACTGACAGAACCTCTGCACTCACGAGCTCACAGTACCTGTGCTTACCTTAACCAGAGCTGCATAAGATCAAGCCAAGTCATATGGTATTATGGAATAGAAAGAAATTTGTGAGCCTTCACCCCTAATTGAGGAACCATGGATAGTGGATGGTTTCTGTGGGAGGCGGAGTCTGGTATTTTTTAAGGGTTTGACTCCTGGTAGGTCAATCATACTCAAGTGGATGACCCCACACCCATGAGTATATGAACAGCACAAATTGGTGCCAATGAGTTTTTTTATTTAAAAACAACACAGTGTTAATGAATGGGTAGAAAGGTGGTAGGAGATAGGATAGGAGTGGGAATGAATATTTTACAAGTACACTGTATGCAATTCTCAAAGAATTAATTAAATATTGCATTAAAATGTTAGCTGCCATGGTAGGTGTTACTGTTTGTGTGAAGAAAAATGTAATATGGCTTCAATAACTACTTGAAGGGAAAATAAATTTGTTTCAAAATAAAAATATTGAATGTATTCTCTCATATGTGGATCCTGAATCATACACATAGGACATGATTATAGAAGTATTATTTAGGTAGAAAGGGCATTCGCAGAAAGGGGGAAATGAAGGGTAATGGGTAGACCCTGCCAAGCTTATCATTACTTTCCTAAGACATGATCAAAATTGTTAATGAGCTATACTTTGGGCTTCCTCAAATGAGTCAAGTAGTAAGATACAAAAGGAAGCTGAATCAATCTCACCCCATGGATCAGATTTAAATCTGCTCCCTCTCCCTATGTTTTCAGCCCCACCCACCCAAACTGTTCGTTGACCTTGATTTTTCTGATATATCTCTGTATCTTTCAGGCTTTTCATTTTCTTTCTGTCCTCAGTAAACTTGAATGTGAATTTATTTTTACAGCAGCCTGCCTTGACTAGCTGGGTGAGACCTGTGAGGTTTCCAGCCATCCTAACACTAGTATTAGAAAAGTGGATTAGAAAAGTGGATTCATCTCTTTTCCAGCATTCTAACACTCTAGGAGACAATTGTAATTTTGAAGACTCAGAACCAAGAATAAATAAATTTATATCCCCTTCCCATTAGTCTTTGGTTCCCCCACTACCACACCCACCCATTTACCCTGGGTTATGTGATTTAACATTTAGGACTTAGGTATTTTATCTAGAGGGTCGAGGTAAAGCTGGGGCCTTATACAGATGCCCCACATATGGTACTCACCTGTGCAGAACACAGGACAAAGGCATCTCAGCTCGTAAAGTAGAGTTTTTTGAGATGTATGTAAGTTTAGTCTGAAGCAGAGTGACATCATGAAGAACCTACAGGGACAAAGAAATATTTAAAATCTTTATCTCACAGATCTCAGGAGAGCTCAGGGATCTGGGAAAGAGCTTGTAGGTACTTTGAGTTCTCCAAAAGAAAAGGTTATTTCCTTAAACAATTACTCATGAGAAGAACCATCTTCTAAATGAAGAAATATTCAATCTGATACATGGCTTTGATATAAAAGTCAGATAATATTTATTTATTGAAAGATGTCAGATCTTCTATTCGTATTTTTAAAAATCACATGCTTATACTTCCTTTCCAGAAATACTGTAGGAAGTAAAGTGTTGCTTATTTTGGCAACACCAACTTTCAGATCAGCTGAAACTATTTTGAATTCAGACTTCTGAGAATTTCATTTAAATGATTAAATCTGGACATGTGTTTTGAGACTGGGTCTCCTATAGTCTATGTTGTCCTTGACCTCTTTAGATAGCCAGGATGGCCTTGAATTCTTGATCCTCCTGCCTCTGCCTCTCCAGTGCTAGGGTTATAAGTGTGCTCACCAAGTCAAATTTCTGTGGTATTAGGGACCAAACGCAAAGCCTTGTACATGCTGGATGAACGTGCTACCAACTGAGATACATAGATACAGCCCCAGTCTCTTTGAAGGAGGAGGAGGAGGAAGAAGAAGAAGAAGAAAAAGAGAGAGGGGGGAGGGAGGGATGGAGGGAGGGAGAGAGGGAGGGATAGGACAGGACAACCACCCTGATGAAGTTTCAGTTCTAATCAATTATGTGGCTGGAATACAAACAGCTTGCAGGATCACCCACAGCTGTCTGGGTTCACCACAGCCCAGTTCTTTTCACACAATAATAATTCTCCCAAGGGCAGTAAATAAACACTCTGTATCCTGCATGCACAGTTCCATCTAAAATTTTCTTCCTGTTGTCACCAAATCTGTGGTTCATCTCAACCTGTCAAAGGGTGAGATGTCTCTTAATACATGATGTAACAGCAAAGCTTCTGGTTTTTAGTTTTTTATTCAACTCAAAATGTCAGTTAATGTTAGAAAGCAATATGCATAACTAACCTGCTGATGCCCCCAACAGGGAACTCTGAGGATCTTTGTGATGTCTAACCAATGTTACTCCCTTCCACCTGAGGCTAGCCATGTCATGGGTTGTCATGTGCAACTAGTTTTGAAAACTACTTTGTGATATATAGAAAATAGATCCCTTCCCATTAGCAAGTTAACATCATTTTTACTGGATGTGACTTTTAAAGACATGAACCTATCTGTATGACAAATAGAAACTATGATTTCCATTTTGTGGGTCCAAGGAAGGGACCATAGCCACTAGCCTTTCTTCTTACTTTATTGACAATCCCACAGGAGTAAGTACGGTAGGTAAAGTCGTAGATATAATTTGGCCAGGCGGTGGTCACAGGGCATCCAAATCCTAAAAACACCTCATCAGGGTCCATAAATATATTGTGGAATAGCGTGGCCTTAATCCTGAGATAGAACCAGTGATTGGTGCATTGCAGACGAATGGCTAAGAAATAGAAAGGAGAATATTTCTGTTAATAATCTGTGTGCGAATCATCACAGAACATTTAAGCAAAGCTAGTTAATGTAAGTGCTCATCCCTTAGCAAAATAAAACATGTTGTAAAAAGAAGCAAGTCTGTAAAATATGGGCATCTGCTATTACTTCATCCCTAAGATACTCATATACATGCCTATATACCAAAGGTATTTTTAGCAAGTTTGGCATTGGAGAGAGCATTTTAATCCTTTCATTCCATTCTCAGAAATCAATAGTTTTCTTAGGACAAGTCTCATTACATAGCTCTGAATAGCTTGGAACTCTCCATGTAGACCAATCTGGCCTTGAACTCAGATCTGCCTCTGCCTCCCAAGTACTGAGATTAAAGGTGTGCACCACCAGCCTCAAAGTCAAGAATTTATACAGCTGGAAAACAAAAGCACATTTCTATTATAAGATAATGTGAAGTACAGAGCATGGCTGCACTCTTGATCAACTCATGCTCCTCTACACTAGCCCTTGTTTTCATTTCTATATCCACAGCCTCATGGTATAAAAAAGCAAACATGGAGGGGTTGATATAGCAATAAACACTAGTCAAGAACACTACAACCAACTTGTTATGACATGTTTGGTGAATATCCCTGGGAGGCCAACTCTTTTTTTTTCAAAGGGAAACAGGAGGAATGGATTTGGTAGAGAGGGAAGGTAGGAAAAGGAACTGAGATGAGTGGAGGAAGGCGAGATATCTCTAAATAATACTGAGCAAAGTAAAGCTGTAGAATGAGCTATAAATAAAACTTTAGATGCCTATGAACCCTACCTCTGCTTCTGTAACACTAAGAGTATGAAACATGCAGATGAACAGATAGTTAGTAAGCTTCCATGTGGACAGAAGGCAGGCACTGAGCTCCCACAGGGACTCCCATGCTAACTGAAATTTCACTCTGATCCTAAATTAAGCAAGGAAAGCAAGTCAATGTATATTTAGTAAGTCTACATGATGAGGTAGTGGATACTAACATGATTGATTAGAGTTGTCTCCTTTATATAGCTCCTAATAAAAAAAGAAATAAAATGTATTAACCAACATATGAAAAGTCCTGTAACCTCCCTAGTATCCAGATTTGGGTATCTTGTTGAAAAGAATTTGGTAAAAATACCTAAAGTTTTGTTGCAATTCTAAACTTTCAAACTAAGAGTTTACACTCATACTTAGGTGACCAACCATTCAAGTTTGCTTAAAGTAGGAGACTTGTTGGCACTCAAACTGAAGAAATTTACCACAAGGAGTTGGCCTTCCCTCTTAGATCCTGTGGGTTCTATAGAGGATAAGGCCAATGAAGACTGAGCCCTTTCCTACATGACACAAGGTATCCTAAGATCCTTTGTTTTATTTATTTATTTGTTTGTTTGTTTGTTTACTTGTTGGTTGGTTGGTTTATCTCTGCCTGGTCCTGCATGTACTGGAACTTGATTTGTATACCAAGCTGGCCTTAAACTCAGAAATAAAGGCATGCACCACCATGCCCAGAGAGTCCAAATCTTTTAACAGCTCATGAACACCTCTGTGCTTTCCAGGCCACTCCAATTTCCTCATATCTAACTCACCTCAAGTACTGAACCCCCAGAATGTGATGTGATCTGGGAAGAGTCAAAAGAAAAGGGGGACTTCAGAAAGAAAGAACACAAGTTAGCAGTGTCTAGTCTCAGTAGAATTGTGAGAGTCTAAGATCATGCATTTGAAAGACACCAATATATATGAAAGCCTCATCCCTCAGCATCCCAAATTCTCTAAGTCACATGTGATACCTGACCAATCATCAGCACAAGTCCTCATAAAGAGTAGAAGCAGAAGGAATCCCTGCAGGCCTGGGCAAGACTTCATTTTTCAGACTGGATATCAAACCCCACAGAGAAAAGGAGAAACAGGACAAGTCAAAGGCCTTCTTATATGCTGGCATAGATCCTCAGCTGGGAGTAATTAACTAGCGTCTTCAACAGCATACATGTGGCATTAATACACCATCAGTTCATCATCTAAAATATAACACTTTCTTTAGGTATTGAAGAACTAGTGTGAATATGATAGAAAACCTGCCACTGGAGTGCTCCCATAGCACGCTTGAAACTTCCACACAGCCATGCCTGCTGAGATGGGAGCTCTGCAGGTGGTACAAAAGGAATAGAAGACTGACTCACATCACAATCTGTACTATTATGTGTAGAGTGATCTTATACACTAAGGTATACTTTGTTAAAGCTCCCTACCATCCCAAAACATCTGGGTCTCATTATCTGAACACTAAAGGAGTAACTACCTAGAATATAATTGTCTTGTATTGCTCAGAATGCAAAGACCCAACACCTTGAGACCTCACTCCCTTCCACTCCAGTTCACCTCTTAGCAACAGTTCTCAATCAGATTCACCTGCAGAGTATTCTTTTAACACACGATGACTGAATTACAGCCATTCTTTTTTTTGATTCAGCAAGACAAGAGTGGGACAGGAAATTCACATTCTAAGCTCCCAAGTGACACTGATACTAATGCTCTCATAATTGCTGGAGCACAAAGATTTGACTGCACAGAGCATGTTGTCCTGATACTCATTGGACTTGTTTGCAAACTTAAATAGATATATCACCTGTGTACCTTGTTTCAAAGCAAATTCTAACACAGAAGTGGGGGATCAGACCCAGTGGTGCTGCAGTTGTAATAAACTCTCAAGTGATACCAATGATTCCCTACGATTACATTTCAAGCAGCAAAGCCTGAAAGTAATGTTTCTTCTAAACAAAAGGTGACACTTCTTCAAAATGAGAAGTTAAAAATCTCATTATTAAAAACAACTTAAATACATATTTGAGTGCTGAGAATATAGCTTAATGGTGGGAAACTTACCTACCTTGTGTGGGCCCAGAAGTTTGATTCCCAGAACCCCAAAAACTCAGATTCAAGCTCACCCTACTTTTCTGTTTCTAGATCATCAATCATTTGAGTTCAGAACTACATTCCATGATGATATAGCATGAAAGACAGAGCTACTGAAAGGTGAATGCACCAGCTCATGACTGTATTAACTGAAAATGTATTGTTGTACTAATAATCTATCCTAATAGAGGGCTAGGGTTGTAACTCAACTGGTAGACCAGTTGCCTAGAATACACAAATCTCTTAGTTTGATCCTCAGCACTTCATAAAATATGAGTGGTTATGCATGGGCTACATGAGATGCTATCTCAAAACAAAATACACACACACAAATAAATAAATAAATAAATAAATAACAGTTCTATAAGGTCACTCTACCATCAAGTTTGTTTTTTTTTTTTGTTTTGTTTTGTTTTGTTTTCGAGACAGGGTTTCTCTGTAGCTTTGGAGACTGTCCTGGAACTCACTTTGTAGACCAGGCTGGCCTCGAACTCACAGAGATCCGCCTGCCTCTGCCTCCCGAGTGCTGGGATTAAAGGTGTGCGCCACCAGCGCCCGGCCTACCATCAAGTTCTTAAGGCTGTATAGTCCATGTATTTTTTTCATCTCTAGGATTTAGCAAATCTGTTGCAAAGCAAGAGATAAAGATGTAACAGTAGAAAGAAATGTAACATTTATTTACCACACAACTATTTCATTTTATATAATTTAAATTATTCTTTATGCTGGCCATTGGTGGCATGCGTCTTTAATCCCAGCACTCGGGAGGCAGAGGCAGGCAGATCTCTGTGAGTTTGAGGCTAGCCTGGTCTACGGAGCAAGTTCCAGGACAGCCTCCAAAACAATACAGAGAAACCCTGTCTCGAAAAACCAAACACTAAATAAATAAACTATTCTTTATTAATTTAGGTGTTTTTCCTTTATTTAAAAAAATGTGTCTCCAAATAGTCCTTCCACTACACAAATAAGATCTGGGGGGGAAGTTTTATATCTTTAATTAATTACTTTTTCCCAGTCCTTTTCTTAAGGTTGGGGAGTTAGCTCAGTGGTAGAGCACTTGCATAGAAATCTTAAGGTCCTGGGTTCAATCCCCAGCACTGGAAAAATAATTTCTCAAATATTCTCAGCCCACTTGTAGTTCAGGCACATATTTCAACTTGAAGAGCTTTTTACACTTGTTGCTAAGTAAATGAACAAATCCCTCTCCTTCTGTAGTTACAGGGTGTGCCCCCACACACATACACACACGTGTGTGTGTGTGTGTGTGTGTGTGTGTGTGTGTTAGTAATCATTCAGTATGGAATACAGTGCTATCTACTATAGTCTCCGTTATGTATGTTACATCTCCAGATTTCATCATCTTAGATATCTGGGTGCTTGCACCCTGGGACCTACCTCTCTCCTTATCACTGTTATGGTTTTCATCTCTGTCTCTGTCTCTGTCTCTGTCTCTGTCTCTGTCTCTCTCTCTCTCTCTCTCTCTCTCTCTGTCTCTATCTCTGTCTCTCACTCTCTCTCTCTCTCTCTCTGTTGTTATAGACAGGGTTTCTCAGTGTAGCTTTGGTGTCTATCCTGGAACTCAGTCTGTAGACAAGGCTGGCCTCAAACTCACAAAGATCCACCTGCCTCTGCCTCCTGAGTGCTGGGATCAAAGGCATGTACCACCACTGCCCAGTCATTTTCATTTCTTAATACAATATAGATGTATTCAAGCAATCTCTAATTTTCCTTCTGCTTAAATTTGTATTAGTTCTTAGTTTTTAAAAATCAGGGTATGAATGGTCTATAGAGATGATTCAGTGGTTAAGAGTACTATTTGCTCTTCCAGAGGACCTTATTTGATTCTCAACCACATAGTGGCTCACAACCATATTCAACTCCAGGGGACCCAAAACCCTCTTGTGACTTTCACAGATGCCAGGGACAAATATAATACACAGACATACATGTAGGCAGAAAATTTACATACAAGGATAAAATAATATCTTTAAAATATGGGGGTCAGGGGAAGAGGGGAGGGAGAGGGAACTGGGATTGACATGTAAAATAAGCTTGTTTCTAATTTAAATTTAAAAATGTTATACAACAAAAATAGATGTAGCTTTTGAAAAAGTCAGAGTATTTTTATTTCACTACATGAACACAGTGTCAAACTGCCATTGAATACTTACATCTGTGTTCATAGTTTAGCACTGCTCTCAGATTTCATCAGAGAAGCTCTATTTACAGTGGGCAATAGTTAATGTAGAGACTCAAAACTAGTCAGCATGATGAGAACAAGTGACTATGGAGAGCTCACACCTAACTGGGCATCTATATCACCTTCTCCAAAGCTCAAGGAGCTTCTCTGTAGAAATAACCCTATGAGTACAGTTTTTCAAGGATAAACACATAAGAGCTGGGGGAAAGAGAGGGGTGGTGTAAAGTGTCCTCCAGACATGACATGGCTGTTGCACCCATGAACTCACAGTACAAGTGTTTACCTCAGGAGAAACTGTACAAGATGGGCATGAAAGAGAGGATCAAAAAGTTCCACCCTCCCCTGAGGATGGCAATTAATGGTTGCTGAAGAAGGGGAAGCCATATCCTTCAGGGATGTTGCCAGTGGTGCTGTACCCTCTCTAAAGTAAATAACCTGCAGGCCCATGCTCTGCACGCATCTCTAATGAAATGCAGTGGAACACACAGACATACAAATAATACAAAACTAAATTACCCTGTGTCTACCATGTACTTCGCTGTGCACATGCACATATAGTACATAGTTACACAGCATATATGTATATATAATACACATGTACACTTCATACATATATACATATACATACCTTCTGGAAAACTTTAGAAAGTATTACAATACCTATCACTAAGGAATATTTTAAGTAGATCTTCAGGTTTATGGTTGTTTGTTCTGTGGTTTTTCGAAACAGGGTTTCTCTGTGTAAGAGGCTTGGCTGTTCTAGAACTGGCTTTGTAGACCAGGTTGACCTCTAACTCAAAGAGACACCTGCCTCTGCCTCCAAAATTCTGGGAATAAAGGCATTCACTACCACACCCAGCTTCGGTTTATGTTTTTAACAAGTTTTGTACTTGCAATTTGTTTCATTTCATGGATTTCTTTCTTTTTTGGTTTTGTTTTGTTTGGGGTTAGAGGTTGAGACCAGGTCTCTCTATGTAGTCCTGGCTGGGGTAGAACTCCTTCTGTAGACTAGGCTGGCCTGAAGCTCACAGAGTTTGATTCTGCTTCTGAGTTGAGATTAAAGGTGTATGTCACCACACCTGGCTCATAGGATTTGTTAAAATTACCTGGTTAACAGGACTCTGATCCCTTCTCTGCTTCAAAGTACTTAGCACTCAGCTTTTAGGTTTGCTATACCTGGTTTGACTTTTAAGTTATTGTGAAAAATTAGTGACATTTTCTGATCTAACTATGTGATGCCTCTCAAACTATCTCTGAAATAGAAAAGAACTGAACATCATAGTATAGGAGGTTTGAGATGGAAGTTACAAGTTTGAAATACAGTTTTATTCTAAATACATGCAAAACTTCTTTTATACCACAGTATCCTTTTCATTTATATTAAATTGTTTGTCAGATAAGTCATCAATCACTTCTCTTAATAGACTTTCCAGGACATTTTCCATGTGTACGTTTTATTGTTGGTTATATAAAAAATATAACACTAGCATCCTGAGCTTGTACAATAAATACTAGTGTATAAAAATGCTACTAGTGAAGTTAATAAACATCTTTATTGACATACCTGAAGGAAACTGAAGATTTTTGTGGTCTGATGAATTGAGTGAGGATGGGACCCATAGGCTCATACATTTGAATACTTGGTCCCCAGTTGGTGGAACTGTTTGGGAAGGATTAGAAGGTTTGTCCTTATTGGAGGAGGTGTGGTCACTAGGGGCAGGCTCTGATTTTAAAAGACCATTCTGAGTAGGTGCTCTCCTTGCTCTCTCTCTCTCTCTCTCTCTCTCTCTCTCTCTCTCTCTCTCTCTCTCTCTCTCTCTCTCTCTCCCTCATAGTTGTGTCTCAAGATGTGAGCTCTAAGCTACTGTTCCAGCACCATATCTGCCTGCCCGCTGCCAAGCTCCCCTCTACCATGATGGTCATGAGCTCTTCAGCTCTGAAACAGTAAGCCCCAAATAAATGCTTTATTTTATAAATTGCTTTGGTCATGGTGTTTTATCACAGCAATGGAAAAGTAAGCCATGTATATCATAGGGAATTTTAAAGCCTTCATAGTAAACAGACTCTGTAGGAAGTTCACACCACTCTCCCAGGATATCCCATAGTGCCTGGAACATCCAAGGCTCTCTGGTGGTCTAGAAAGGTTCAGTTACAAAAGAATGGGAGATTAGCAGCTTAGACATGCCACTCTAGTAAGGACATTATAAAATCACTGTAGAGCACTGGGTTCCCTCAAAATTGGTCTAGGAATGGTCAAGATTGGGGTCTCTGTTGACCTCTTCTTCCCAGGTGCTAATGGTGAGTAACCTCTGCTAAATCAGCTCCAAATACTACCAAGGAATTAACTAACTAATGAATTAACTAGTTAAACTAAATGTGTATCACAAACTTGGGGAGATGGCTTCAGCCACAGATGACAATATGTCAGAGTCAGTGGCATCCCTAAATCAACTCATAAAATATAAAAAAAAAAAACAGCCAGCAAATTGGCCGCATGACCAAGCATTTTGAGGTCCTACACAGACCGTTCAAAAGTACCTCATAATGTGTCTCTATATTCACTTAACCAACACTATATTTTTCTAGCCAATCTGATAAAGAAAGTTTCAGGAGTTTGAATTGATACCCTGTTAAAGGTTTTTGTTCTCATCTCTGAATTGGGTTCATTGAATCCATCTGAATACGACCTCAGACATAAAAACACTTCCGGCTTCCTGGTTCCTCTCAACTACCTGATACCTGAGGAGATCCCAGCTCAATGTCCAGCATAATGAAGGCTTTTGTTACATCAGGATTGCTGCTGCTGCTCATAGCTGGGATGTGGAGGTGTTTTGGGCAAGAGCCAGGTATCAGAGTGGGTTGTTTTTGGTAATGTTTTCACCGGGTAGTTCCTCAGTGACCATGAGTTCAGGGGCTTTATGGTCCCATCTGAAGTTAACAACTTAACAATTCCTAGCCCTCTAGGTTGTCTCCACCTGGGTAACTAGAAAATTACAGTCCTGGCATACAAGTTGCAAATATTGTCTTCCCTATCCCCATGAGTAAAGGTGTTCTGGACTCAAACCGTTACTTTTGCTGAGGTCTCAGAGTTGGGTTCCCTTCCTCTCTTCCCATTTCTTCCTAAAGGCACTCTTCGATTTCCTACCAGGTCACCCTTGAGCCATCTGTTCTTCTGCATGATTTCCCCTTCCTCTGCTCGTACCTTCTCTGTCTTTTCACCGTTTCCTACCTGAATTAGTCAACTACCCTTTCTTAACTACTTCCCTTGTGTAATCATCTCTCTTGCCCTCCCTACCTCATTGTACAATTCTTTTTAAGATACTCTGAAGAAAACTTTCTTAAACATTCCAGTGTTTCCCTACAGCCAACTCATGACACATAGACTAGCCTTTAAAGTCCCGTACAGACTGACCCCAAGCTGCTCTCAGACCCTAGGAGGTCTAGCAGTTTCCCAAACAATTGAGGAACCTTGTTTCACCACCGGCATGGTATCATGTTCCCTAAGACAAAGTGGGACAGAACTCATTTAAACTACCCCCAAGTCCTGTAGACCACCAGAGACTCAGCTCAGAGAAGGCAGATGCTAACCTAAGAGTTTTTCATATAAACTGTTATGTCTCAGAAGGAAAGTTGGTTATGAGTACAGGTACTAAGCATAATGTGTGTAGTATTGGGAGGAAAAAGGGAAATTCCTGGAGGCAGCACAGTTACCATGGGACTTTAGGAATAATATTTTCACTGCTTACAGGAGGGTGGGATCTTAGAGAGCAGGCAACACTCCCTATTCTTTTCCTTTAGAAAAAAAACAAAAGGAGAGTTGTGCAAAATGCCTACTGCAAATGTGATAGTTCAAGCTTATGAACTATGACCAAGATAAATTAAACTGTTTTTAATCGGAAAAAATGTAACTTGAAAGTTAGAAGGTTAGACAGGGAAGTGGAGGTTTCTGGGATGGTGGGAAAGGGTGTGTGTTAGCAGGAGGACCCGTTCATCAGCACAGTGCAGCTGTAGCAAATGAAATAAATGAGATTGGGGGCAGTGAGCTCCTCCACGAGGCTGTCAAGGTAGCCCGGGGAAGGGGTAGTGATGGAATCTGGGTACAGCCATGCAGGAGTAGACGGGAGATGAATTTTGAAAGCAAAAGTGAAAAAAGACTCAGTGGAAGACTGTGGGAAGGAAGGGAAGTGGGAAGTGGGACCAGACCCTAAGGCCTTTGGGCTTCAGTGGTGGGTGGGTGAGGTGCTGTTGAATGGGATGAGGGAACACACGTGGAGGTGAAGTAAAAACCGTGAGTTCCATACAGAACACATGCATGCTGAGGAAGACTGCTTCAAATGTCCTCTGTGTCTCTGATAGCTAAGGAGAGATCTGCTCCTAAAGCTTGGGCGATAAGTTCAGCAGACAAATGAACTTAGCATTCTGATCTCCAGGGTAATACAGTGTAGTGAGTCCAAAGAGCATAGTGTTCAGTCCCAGCCCTTCATTAATTCTTGGACCTTGAAAGAATCACATCTTCTCTCCATAGGAACTATATGTCTGCTACTATATGGCACATAGCCATGGACTGAAAATGAAAACCTATGGGCCATGCAGATGGTTCCATCAGTAAAGTGCTTTCCATGGAAGCATGAAGATCTGTGCTCAGATCTCCAGCACCCATAGAAAAAACTGATCCCAGTGCTGCAGAGGGAGAAACAGTCAGACTGCCAAGCTTGTTGGCTAGCTACTCCAGCAGAGTTGGCAAGCTCCGGTTGAGTGGGAAAACCTGTCTTAAAAACAAGGTGTGGAGCAACTGAGAAAGATACACAACATCTCTCGATGGCCTCCATGTGTACATATGCCAGCATGCAAGTACACACTCTCTCTGTCTGTCTCTGTCTGTCTCTGTCTCTGTCTCTCTGTCTGTGTCTCTGTCTCTCCTCCCCCCTCTCTCTCATGGCTTAAGTTGTGCAGAGACACCAAGGATTGGGGAACTTGGTACCCAGTATGGCACCTTGATAAAAGCACATGCCTCTGTTTCCATTCCAAATAGCCACCACAGTTAATCTCAGGCAGAACTAATGGGGTTTTGCAAGTGGATTCATTGGAGGGAAGTCAATGGGAAGAAAAGAGAAGTGGAGTCACATTATGAAAGGAATTATCCTTGCCCACACCCCTAACCTCTCTTTGTTTCAGTTAAATCAAATCTTCTTTTATGCCATGTACTGAGGTGGAGCAGCTAACTGCATTTCTTCTCTTTCAACAGTATCAGTGGAATGCAATTATTTTAATCTCCGTGTTACAGCTAAAAGGGCACTGTTTTATCCCGATGAATTTGTAGACCCTAATGAATTATTCCTAGGGACAGGCTGCGTGGTGACTTACATCCGACCACATGAACTTGAGTTTTATTATCCTGTCAGTCTCTGTGGGACTGTTATAGAGGTAAGAGAAGGAACCGTTTTAACTGGTGCCATCTGTAAAGTCTTTTCAAGTGTTGTTTCTTGTTGATTTCTTAATATGTGTGTAACACTAGTATTGCCAACCTAGTGCTTTAGCCTAAGAGAAACACAAAGAATGTTTCTGTCATTCCTATTCATTCACCAGTCTTATTACATATAGGATACTTGGCATTAATAAGAAAACTATGGATTTTGCTATCAAAATTAATTAATGTTCTATTAGCATGGCACACATATTAATTTCACATGGGCATTTCACACACCCAATCCTACAGGATCAATTACACTTCCAATAGAGTGAGGAATTGATGCATAAAAGTTAGCCATGTAACCAGATGCATGAAGTTTGCATATAGCAAAGCAAGGGTCAGAGGCAAGACTTGCTGATGTCTCTAGTCTAAGTCTGATGCTGTAATGACTCTGGAATGAGTGGAATGAAATGAACAACAATAATAATAATAATACTAAAGCCCAAACAACATATCCCTAGTAAAGTATTCTATTCTCTTTGACTTACAGATCTGTCTCTATCACTAAACTATAGCTTATTCCTGGGGGTAACCTGTGATCCTCCTTCTTAGTGTGGTGCTCAGAGCCCAGGCCTTAAAATAATAATGGCTCAGCATCCAAATGAGTAAGCACAGAGGTGTAGTCTTTTGCTTAAAACTTTTAGGAAGTTAAGAAGCAAGAATGATCTGTAATGGTCGTGAACTAGAAGTATACTTAATTTGTTCACTTCTAATTAATATACATGTATTCTTATATGTATTTATGTATGTGTAAAATTGAAATCATTAGTACTTTAGCATCTATGAGGAAAACTGAAAGTAAACTTTGGTGTAGGAATTTATAAGCACATCCATGGTAAATACAAAACATTCCATTTAACTTGTCTTAATTTGCATAGCTGTAGTCATCAAAACAAGTATGTTCTTTCAAGAACCTAAACTTCATGGCGTTAACATGGAATAACTTAAACAGAGAGAAATGAAAATCCTTCAATCTTCTCTGTCTCATAGTATCATGCAATGAGTGTCTATCTCACTCTATTTTTGAAGCCTACGCCTACCCACAGCAAAATGCCAGACACTCAGATTTGTTCCCATACGCCCATAAAAAGATATCCAAAGACATCTTGAGGTTTCCAGCAGCTAAAAGCAAGTGTCAAATATAGAGCCCTTTTTATCAAGTGGGAATGATCCTCTCCATGGGGGGGCGCATTGGGCAATCTGAGGAGACAATATTAATGACTCCACCCTACATGAGAAACCCTATATGAAATACTCACACCTATCTTCTCCCTTACCCCTTGCTCTGGGCAGACTTCCTCTACCACTGATACAGCTTAAACTCTGCCAATCATCATGAGGCCATTTCATAATTTTAATAGTGTCTGTCTGACCTCTGGATTTGAAAACTGGAGTAAATAAATCTTTCAAATCTCAGGAACCACATAGATCATTCATCTTACTATTTATTCAACAAGTTACTGACTTTGGAACCTCTCTATCAACTGGAATAACACATCATATCTAATATGATCCCAAAAGCATAAGTAATGGAGGATCAAATTGTTACAGAACTTGAAGTTAGTATGGTAAAACCATAGGATTTTAAATTTATTTAAGAAATGTATATGCATTTAATGCTCAGGAAATCCAATAGGTCAGTACAAAAACATCATCTTTAGCTAACACTCTTCCTCTTGATGAGCTTTCAGAAACTGGAAATTCAAAGTAAAAGCCAAATACTATGAATTCAGAATTATCAGGAAGAGTCTCTCAGACTCCTTCAAATAGTTTCTTCAACTTTTAAATCCTCATAGAGCAAGTTGCCATCTAAGTAAGAAAGAAATACTTCCTAGAACTTTGATTTGAAAAAGCTAGTGGGAAAGCTCCAGGGATAATGTACCAGCCTCTTGGCAATCTCATTCACAAATTATATGTCAAGTGTGTTGCTTTATTTTCTGTTTGTTAAGTGCTTCTGCATTGCAGACAGAACTTTAAGCACATTAATTCAGCGGCATATCTTTATTTCTTGGGGTTGTAGAGTGGCAAATGATTTATCTTTCGATTTATTATTGAATATATTAAAATGTGTTGTGACAAACCATATGTATACTTCAAAGATCTCTTATCTCAACAGATAGAACCTGATAGAACTGTCTTTAATACCTGGCTCACATATAAACCCAGGAATTTACATATTTCTGCTGAGCTTCGACTGAAGTGTGTGGTTCCCAGGTCAGTACAAAATACACATTATTACCTCTTTGATTAAATTCAACAGCTTTTGGCTAAAATGTATCATTGCTTGTCTACAAACCTTGAAATTCATGACTTCTTAGTTAGCTATGTATCTACAGCATGTCAATCCACCTTAACCTCTACTGCAGGCCCTACCAGAGGCCAAAATTTTGGCCAAGAAAGTGACAAAAGCTACAAAGTCATGAGTGGGTCTTGGCTGTTCATCCTTTCTACTCCCTGAGAGGAAGGACATGCTGCCCAGCTAAAAGCATCACATCAATACTGGCACACAATATCTATGGAAATTTATTATGTACACAGATTCGCTTTGACCTTCTGAACAATCCATAAGGGTTAGCTGGGTCTCACGGTAGTCATGTAAAACAAGATACTCAGGAGGATAAGGAAAACAGACTGTAGGTTCAAGACCATCCTAACCCTACTCAGTGAGTTCAAGGCCACCCGTAAAAACTAGGTGGGACCATCTCAATATAAAAAGAGGGCTGAGGATAGAGTTCAGTGGTAAAGTACTTACCTAGCAATCACAAGGCCCTGAGATGAATCCCCAGTACTGCAAGACAGGGTAGGGTGGGGGGAGGGAGGGAGAGGGAAGGAGGGAGGGACTGAAACTCTGTTATTAGGAGATAATTCTACCTTCTAAGTTTGAAAAGAATTTAGTAATAAATTATATAGAAGGTGAAACTTTAAAAACAAAAACAGCCAACTGGTTTAAACAATAACTTTATAATTCCAGAAGTAATTAGGAATTAAATAAGACAAAAAGATTAGAAAATTCGCTGAACATAGATTGTGTGTGGCATCAGCATTTTGGTAAGAATATGACTCAGTCCTTGCTGATGACAAAAACCACTGTGCAACTCACAGCATCTGAGAGCCCAGGGCGCATGAATCCTCATCATCAACTCTGTGTACAGCATGAACATCACAACAACTTAATGACAGAAATTTAAATATGTTTCTACGATCTTCCAGATTCATAGAACCAGAAAGTCCCAGATTTAAGTTTAGCAAAGTGACCTGAAAACACTGTTTTCTTAGCTATGCTTTAGTGAACTGTGCTGGTTAATGAGTTTGTGGAACTCATGTTCCAAGGTGACTCACTGACATTCTGAATGATATCAATCAGGGGCTGGAGGGATGGGTTATTGGTTAACGGCACTGACTGCTCTTCTAGAGGACCTGTGTGTGTTTCTTAGCACCCACACGTATCAGTTCACAACAAACTCTTAGCTCTGGCTCCAGGAGAATCTGCCATTCTCTTGCAGAATCTATGGGCACTGTACTTGTGTACACACACACACACTATATAATCAAATAAAATCCTTAAATAAAAGTAATCAGGCTTCATTAGCTCCTGGTAACCTGTTAATTCAACTTGGAGAGATTTTAGGAACATCTTCACTTCAGCCATAAACTTATTAACCCCCAATGAAGGATTTTGAGCAGGTCTGAGGCTTTTGAACAAGAATAATGCATCCATCTTAAAGCTATTAAAAAGCCATAGCTTTTTAGTAGACTGTTGAATCTATTAAGTTTTTATACCAAGGCTACTGAATCACTGAACTGTTGTATTGACGCTGAAATTAAAGCCCAGGGATAGTGACTTTCAGGCCTATGCACTGCTTTCTAACTCCTGTTTTCATTGTTTTGTTTTTCCTTTGGAAGCTCTTATGTTGTGGATGACCTACAAATACCCTTTCCTGATCAATACTGGTTCCTGGTACAGCAGAGACTCTGCTCGTCTTGTAATTACGCCCACTTAAAAGATAACTGGGTAAGGACTCCTACAAGGGTCAATATTTAATATGAAAACATTCACAGTTTATGACCAAAGCAAAAATTATCCATTACATTTACTATTTGTTTGGGGAAGACCTTATACTTATCTCAACCATGTACTCAATGGAAATGAGTTATACATAGTCACTGTACAACATGATGAAAGGCTACAATAAGGACCCAGGCTTACCATCCTCTCTTCATTCTTTCCTTGATAGTAATATTTTACCTTACAGTATTTGGAACTGAGCATCTAAATCCAAAGCAAATGTCTGTCATGGGAGGAGGGAGAGAAAAGTTCTGAATTTACCAATTTAGAACATTCTCTTCATATCTTTTCACAAAAAGACAAAATGTCTTAAACTTAAGGTGGATCTGAAACATAAATGAGCAATAAATAAATTTACCACTGGGTTGTTATCAAATACACCCAAGATCCCTTTGAGTGCTGTTTTCCTTCCTTCTTCTGTAAGTCTTTAGAAAATGGTATCTATGTGGTTCCCACTTGTAAAAAATGGATTATGTACCATACTGCTCCTGTTTTACAGTCCTAAAGTCCAGCTCAGAGAGTGCTCAACTTTAAAAAATATTCTTGAGCCAAAGGGAGGGGAGAGACTCAGGAGGCCCCACCAATCCCCGAGGGACTGCTTGCAGTTAATGGTGAAAGAGAGTTCTTGTCTTCCATGGTGAAGTTAGTGGTGGGTTGCCCATGCTTCAGTAAACATTCTCCACCTGTGTTCACACACACACAGAGAAAGAGACAGAGACAGAGAGAGATAGAGACAGAGAGACAGAGAGAGAAACACACAACACCCAAAGGAAAAAAATTTAAAGATATACAAATAGCAGGGAAACAAGTAGAAAAAAGGGTAGTTCCATAGGACTGAAAAGGGATGAGAGAGATTAATGGGTAAAAAGAACAAAATACATTATGTAAATGTATAAGTTTGTCAAGGAATAATATTTTTCTTACTTGAAAGTAGACTTTTTCATATAGTATATCCTGATATGGTCTCCCCTCCCTCTACTCTTCCCAGCTCCTCTCCACCACTGTTTCTGTCTCCCATTAGAAAACAAAATGCTTCTAAAGAATAACAATAAAATAAAAATACATCAGAATAGAGCAAAACAAACAAAAGTAAAAGAGCCTAATAAAAGGCACAAGAAACAGATTAGATATAGAGGATGACTAATTGACACACTTAGGAATCCCACAAAAAACATAAAACTGGAAGACATAATATATACTCAGAGGACCTACAGAGCAAAGAGAGATGGGGAATAAAAATAAGAAGATAAAATTTTTAAAAAGAGAAAAAGCTCTGACACAACATTAAATAGCAGGAACCTCCAAGGACGTAGTTGTGTTCATTGTCTGTTCCCTATCTACTTCTGGGCATGCAGCCTACCCTTAAGAGTAATTTGTTTCCCTAGCAAGACTCCCTTGGAGAAAACTAAATTTTCACTTCCAAACGGTTATTGGTTGTAGTTGGCTTCTGTGTTAAGGATAGGGGCATGTGTCCACTTCTCTTTTCAGATCTAGGACCCTATCAAGTGCAGACTATTGGGGCGCTGTGAATGCTGCCTCAGTCTCTATGATTCATATGTGTATCAATCTTGTTGTGTTTAGAAAGCTTTATTTCCTTGGTGTCCTGCATCACCTCTAGATCTTATAAATTGAACCCTGAAAGGAGGCATTAAATAGAAACATTTCATTTAGGATGGAGTGTCCCCTTTGCATACTAGCTGTCCGTAGATCTATGTATTTGTTCCCATATGATGTAGGAGGAATCTTCTCTGATGATGACTAAGCAAGGCACTGATCTATAGGTATAACAGAATGTCACTAGGCATCATTTTATTACTAGGTTCCTTTAGAATAGTAGTATTTGGCTTAACTCTACGTCCCTGGACTACCTATTTTCCAGTACCAAGAACACTATCCCATAAGAGTGAAGGCTCTAGGTAGGCACCAGCTTAACTTCTTTGGGTTTATTGAGTTGTGGAAGTATTATCTTTAGCAATAGGATAGTGATATCAATGAGTGGAGAACAACAGAAACTGTTGGCACAGCCTGGATTGTTGAGAATTCCCATGAGACCCTTTTGTCCAACTATATCTATAAGATATAAGCCGGGTGTTGGTGGCACACGCCTTTAATCCCAGCACTCGGGAGGCAGAGGCAGGCAGATCTCTGTGAGTTCGAGGCCAACCTGGTCTACAAGAGCTAGTTCCAGGACAGGCTCCAAAACAATACAGAGAAACCCTGTCTCGAAAAAAAAAAAAGATATAACCCGTTCTCAGTATTAAAAGCTTAATTTGGTGCAAGAGATGTCCATTTGGGACTCTGTTATTTGGTGGTTTCATTTAGATTGCCTTTATATGTGTATATATTTTAGGAAGCTTTTACTGTATTGGGTTTCCATACTACCCATTAAATGGTCCTTAGTTTTAGGTGTCTCTTCCTATATTCCTCCATCATTCTGCTCCTCACTTGATCCTCCCATTCCAATTGCTCACCCTTGCCCATCCATATCTATTCTATTTCTCACTCTTAAGAAGATCTATTTGCTCCTCAAGTCCCTTTCTCTATACCTAACCACCGCGATTCTACAGATTGTAGTTTGTTTACCATTGAATTAAAAGCTAGTACACACATATAAGCAAATACATAATATTTATTTTTCTGGGCCTACATTACCTCACTCAGGATGATAAGATTTTTTCTAGTTCCATTTACCTGTGAATTTCATGATTTCATTTTTCAATAGCTGAGTAATGTTCTACTGTGCAAATTATCACAATTTCTTTATTCATTCTTCTATTGAGGTGCAACTAGGCTATTTTCAATTTCTGGCTATTGTAAATAGAACAGCAATGAACTACATTCTTTGGTATAGCTGGATCTTGAGGTAGATCTACTCCCATCTTCCTGAGGAAACACCACACTGATTTCCATAGTGGCCATATAAGTTTACACTCCCACCAGCAGTGAATGAGTATTCTCCTTACTCCACAGTCTGACTAGCATGATTTATTACTTGCTTTATTGGTCTTAGCCATTCTAACAGGTATAAGATGGAATGTCAAAGTAGTTTATGCATTTCCCTGATGGTTAAGGATGTTGAACATTTCTTACGAGTTTCTCGCCCATTTGAGTTTCCTCTATTGAGAATTCTGTTTAGATCAGTAAATAATTGGATTTATTTGTTTTCTTGAAGTCTACTTTCTTGAGTCCTTTATATATTTTGGATATCAATCCTCTATTAGATGTGTAGTTTATAAAAATCTTTTTCCATTCTGTAGGCTACCATTTTGCATTTTGCCAGAATGATGGTGCCCTTTGCCATGCAGAAGTGTCTCAGTTTCATGAGGTCCCATTAATTAATTGTTAATCTTAGTACCTATGCTAATGGTGTCCTGTTCAGAAAGTCTTTTCCTGTGCTAATGAGTTCAAGGTTCTTGCCCACTTTCTCATCTATCAGGTTTATTGTATCTGGTTTTATGTTGAGGTCTTTGATCTATTTGGAGTTGAGTTTTATGCAGGGTGATAAGCATGAATCTATTTGCAGTCTTCTGCATGAAGACATCCAGTTTGACCAGCACGATTTGTTTAAAATGTTTTATTTTTCAAGTGTGTATTTCTGGCTTCTTTATCAAAAATCAGGTGTCCATATTATGACTTTGTGGAGCCCAGTCTCTAGAGAGAGATACTTTGCTCAAACTAGACATGGGGAGGGGGCTTAGTCCTGCCTCAATGAGGTAATAGGACAGACTTAGTTGACATCCTAGGGAGGCCTTACCTTGTCTGAGGAACAGATAGAAGGTGGGAGGGGGAAAGGAAGGGAGAGTGGAGGAGAGGAGAGAGGGGGGAACTGAGATTAGAATGTAAAAAATAAATTAAAAATAAAATAAAATAATCAGGTGTCCATAGATGTATGCACTTATGTCTTGGTCAATCAGTTTGATTCCATTAATTAACATGACTGTTTTTTATGGCAATATCGCACTGCTTTTATTACTATAGCTTTGTAGTACAACCTTAAATACGGAATAGTACTTTTATTATTCTTTATCTTTATTATGTTGTAGTTTTCCTGGGTTTTTCTGTGTTTCCATAGGAAGCTGAAAATTTTTCTTTCAAGATCTGGGAAGAATTGTGTTGGAATTTTGATAGGGATTATATATTGCATTGAATCTGTAGATTGCTTCTGGTAGGATGGTCATTTTTCCCATTGAAAACTTCAACTCAAAAAGGTTAGCCACAGCTAAGAAATCACAAGGAATAAATAATCCCAGAGCAGAAAAACAACACATAGCACAACAACAAAATAATAGGAATTAACAACAATGTTCATTGATCTTAACATCAATGGTCTCAATTCCCCATCTGTGGTGGCTTGGTAGGGGATTCTGGGATCCTGCCAGGTATGGCCACTGGGTGTTCCAAGAAGAATGCATTTCTAGGTTGGGAGTTGACACGAAGAATGGGAATGGGTAGGCACAGAGCTGAGGGTATCCATAGGAGGAATGAAAGCAAAGTGTTCACCTAGTATCTGCTTAATCATACTGGGAATGGTGGTAGAATGTGGAGAGGCCACAGCAAATAGTCTGCTGAGGATGAGACTGGGGATTGGACTTGGAGGAAAGGAAAGATCTGTTGTTAGCCTTTCTCCATTTAATTTTTTTATTTTATACATTTTGTTTTTATTATTTTAAATGTAAATATATTTTGATCATGTTATTCCCCTCTGTTAGTCACAATCACCAACATATAAGTTTGTTGTGTAAAGAATTTTTAAAACAGTGTTGATATATATTAAGGAATCAATATTGCTATTACTGTTTCTCTATTAAAAAATAAAACGAGGTAAAAATGATCCAATAATGAAAGAAAAATATTCTTGAGCCGTGTATCTCAAAATAGTAAATGTCAGTTATTGAAATTTTTTTCCACAGTCAACACCTTTTTATAAGATGAGGAATCATTCAACACATTTTCATAGGATGAGAAATCAATCCTTTCAAAATCCTTTTCAGCCATTCTTTTAACCCTGACTCGCCATGGCATCATGAAGTTTAAGAATATGACATGACCTGCCTTTGATGTTTATATACTTGCACGTTTTAATTTTATTTTAATATACAATAACCTTTTATGATACCTTTGAAAATAATCTATCAGTGTTTTAAGCTTTAATGTAAACAACCTATAAATAAAACTTTTTATTGTGTGTAATATTGTGCCTCTAAATCAAGCTAATTGAGTTTTTACATTTTAGTCTAAATTAGCAGAAAAATGGGAGCTGGGACAAATTACCAGTCTTGTTTTTAATACTTGTCTATTAAAAACTAGTCCTTGTTATATGCAATAATATGACCTAGGAGTTTGCTTGGAAGAGAGTTGATGAAGACTGAAACCCACTAAAAGCAGAGGGAACCCAAATGTGTGAACAGACTGGCTATTAAGATCCTCCCCCCCCCACTCCTCAAGCCGGGCAGTGGTGGCACACACCTTTAATCCCAGCACTCGGGAGGCAGAGGCAGGCAGATCTCTGTGAGTTCGAGGCCAGGCTGGACCAACAGCCTCCAAAACAATACAGAGAAACCCTGTCTCATAAAACCAAAAAAAAAATCCTCCCCCATAACTAGCCATTGGTGGTGCACTCAGGGAGTAGAGGCAGACAGATCTCTGAATTCAAGGCCATCCTGGTCTAAAGAGCAAGTTCCAAGACAGCCAGAGCTATACCCTATCTCAAAACAAAAAATAACAATAACAACAACAAAAATACTCTGCCAGGGGCTGGGCAAATGGATCAGTAGATAAGGTACTTGCAAAGACAAACTGGAACTTGTCCCAAACACATTTCAATTAAGGGGGAGGAGGAATAGTGACCCTAATGCCATCCCAGTGTTTTGGAAGCAGAGACAAAGAAACCACTGAACAAGGTAGCTAACTAGACTAGCCAGCAAAAGACCCTGGATCAGTAAATAATGTGGAAAGCAATAAAGAAAGAAACCTAATATCAATCTCTGGCCTCCACAAGCATATGTACACAGAGTGTACACAGAGGTACATCCAAAAAAAGAAAAAGGAAAGGGGGAGGGAAGGAAAGGGAAGGGAAGGGGAGGGGAGGGGGAAGGGAGGGGGAAAGGAGGGGAAGGGAGGGGAAGGGAAGGGAAAGGAGAAGGGGAAAGGGAAAGGGGAAGTAAAGGGGAGGGGAAGGGATGGGAAGGGAAAGGGAAAAGAAGGAAAGGGGAAGGGGAAGAGGAAGGAGAAGGGAGGCAGGTAGGCAGGCATAGAAGCTCTCCTGAAGCAAACCATTCTGTAATAGAAGTTCAGGTGCAGATGTTTTGAGTCTGTTGACGGGGTTACTCTGTCAGTCACTCCAAGGCAATGTTCGCAACCTCCCCATTCATTTTGAGGAGGTTGTGTTAACTAGGCTGGTTGCCCTGGCCACTGGCCTGCCTTTTCAGTAGTTCTTTTGTCAATATTGCCATCATTTCAACCTTGGAATCTAAGCTAGCATTTGAGGAATTGCAGGTGCATGCTCTATGGTGGGGATTCATGCACTGTCACTTTATAATAGGAGGGTACAAGGCTAAAGCTTTCCAAAGTCCAGACTATCTACTGCATGCATGTATCCAATCTGGGTTGATTTATACCTGGCAGGGTTTCAAGTCACCCCTACCTGTATCATTGCATATACACTGCTTAGGCACTAATAAAAATGGGTATTGCTATTTGTGTAGTCAATTAACTGAGTTCTAGTAAAGGAAGTACTGTGAAGCTACAGTAATCTCAGTCCTTTGTACAGATGGCAGCTTCCTTGCCTGGGGAAGGGTACAGAACATCTTAACCTCACTCTGGTTAAGCTAAGCTGGTTCAATATCAGGAAAAGCAACAGTCTAGGCTTTGGTTTCAAGTCCTAGCCTCTTTTCTTTTTTTTTTTATTTTTATAACCTTTAGAATTTTTGTCTTCAACAATACTTTAGATATTTCATGTTTTAGTCCCATTAACTAATTTTTACATTTAAGTTCTTTTTTTATTTTTTTTTATTTTTTTATTTTTTTATTTTTTTTAAATTTTTTATCATTTTTTATTTTAATTTTAAATAGCTTGTTTTACATGTCAATCCCAGTTCCCTCTCCCTCCCCTCTTCCTGCACTCCCCTTCCTCCCCTCCCTCCCACCCTATTGCCAAATCCTTCCACATAGGGGATATCTAGAGTCTGTCATTTTACTCTTGGTAGGGTCAAGGCACTCCCCTAAGAGTCCAGGCTGAGAGAGCATCTCTCTTTGTGCTATAGGCACATGAAGACAGTTTGTATACCAGGGATAGACACTGATCCACAGCTCAGGGCCCCATAGGTTGCCCAGGCCTTCTCACTGACACTCACATTTGGGGGGGTCCAGAACAGTCCCATGCTGGCCTCCCCACTGTCGGTCTGGGGTCCAAGAGCACTCCCCTGTTCAGATCAGCTGTCTCTGCTGGTTTTGCCAGCCCATTCTTTGCCAATTTGCTCATCACTCCTCTCTGTCACTGGGTTCCTTGGGTTCAGTTCAGTGATTAGTTGTGTGTTTGCCTCTGCTTCCATCAGTCACAGGATGAAGGCTCCCGGATGGTTATAGACATCAGGTTCATTATCAGGAATGGGCATTCGAGGTGGTCTCTCCACTATTGCTTAGCTTGCCAATTGATGTTATACCTTTAGATCACTCGAGGTCACTCTGGTGCCTGATCTGTCTTCGATCCTATGATTCCCTCTTCCCCCTATTCTACCCCCACCCCCCTCAACTTCCTGTTCCCCCATGACCAACTCCCTTCCTCTTTACCCCCTCTATTCTTCCCAGGTCCCACTCCCCCCCACCCCTCGCCATGTTCCCCATCCATTCAGAGGATCTTGTCTCCATCCTCTTCTCTTGGGTACTATGCATATATGCATATCTTTTAGGTTCTTTCCTGTTTCCCAGACTCTCTATCTGTGGAAGTGCAGACTGGCACTATCCTGATCCATATCTAAAATCCATAGTGAGTACATACCTAGCCTCTTTTCTTATCCTAAAGCAACCCAATGCTCCTTTAAAAAGACAGACAATATAATGCACATAAACAAGGCATTCCTTAAAATACCAGGACTAGCGCATATATGCACTAGGGAGGCAGTTAACAGGAAGCTTGGGACTGGGCTGCTTCTAGTGTCTGCCAAGTACCTTTGATACCATCACACAACAGGTATACTAAGAAACTATATAGGCACCTGGGGTTCCAGTTCAGGGAAGGCTTGTCAATGTACTCTTTACTTATTAATCTCTATGAAAAGCTTTGACATTACCCAGAAAAGAACCATAAGGCTCACTTGTGCTTTCAGGAACTCTGGGAATAGGCACTGAGGAAAATATTTTTCCAAAACTAATACCAGTGGAGTATCCAATAGAAATGTTTTTACTTTTGTGTTTTTGTTGTGTTGTTGCTTTGCTTTTGAGACAGGGTCTCCAGTAGCCCAAACTAACTTTAAAATCACCATGGAACCAAAAATGACCTTGAACTCTTGGTCCTCTTGCTACTACCTCTGGAGTGTTAGGATCAAAATAATGCAAAAATATGTCCAGTCATGATTAACACCAAAACCACAGGATGCAGACTTTCATACATGCATAGCCATTGAGAACATGTGATTAGATATCTTAAACTTACAATCTATCCCCAAAGGAACAGTGTCTTCCTGCCAGAGAACACCTTTCCTAAAGTGTGTTAGAAATTTCTTCTGAAACAGCTGTGAAGGAAAATTCAGAAATTTACAAAACCTGACATGTGTTTCAAACTTTAGGTGTAGGTATTCCTGATAAGTTGGATCTATGTTGAGCTGTTTTAAAGAAGATTAACAATGACTATCTTTAATCCTGAAGATAAAACGAAGTTTAGGGAGTTTCCTTATAGGCCATAGATGATGCATATCTAAATAACTGCAATAAGAAAACACACAGATTACTGTTTTAACTAGTTTTCAGTGCATTCAAGCTTACAGCAATTATATATAGCTAATACAACTAAAAATGCTGTCTGATACTATGATACCAGTATCCTATTTTAGCTTGTGTGTTTGTGTGAGTGTTTACCTATGTATGCATAAGTGAACATGCTTGTGAGTATCTGAGGAGGACAAAAGAAGCTTTCAGATGCCCTGAAGCTGGAAATGCAGGGAGTCGTGGCCACCCAATTTGGGTAATGGGAACCAAACTCTAGTCCTCTGAAAGAGCAACATGAGCTCTTAATTGCTCAGCCTTATCTCCATTCCCATTTAGTCCTTTCTCTGAGTTGCTAAGTTTGGCTTCAAAACATTCTGCTGAAATTTTTATGTATCTGTATTCATAATGTGCGTTGGCATGTAATTCCTTCTTGTGTGTCTTCATTTGGTTTTAGAATTCTCTATTCAAATGGCACTGAACTCAAATCCAAGATTTGCATGAGCCCTACTCACTGGAAGTTACCTATCTGTGTAGGGCCCTGATCTCAGTGACATCCAATGCTTGGATATGTCATCTTGAATATCAAACATTTACACAGGAAGCCCTTTGAAAATGCAACTCAAAGTAGAGGAAGCCAGAGAAGCACAATGTGTCTATTGAACATGAGCAGAGAAGGGAGGGGATGAACTCTCACCACCACTGCCATTCACTGTCCTGGTGCAGAGATCAAATTCTAAACTAAACTCTATCTTTAGCTCATCACCAAAGCTACTTTGTCAAAATAGGAGAGTAGAGTATGCCTTGATTAACAGTTTCTTGATTTACACTTTCATGTAGAGAAGTCCTATAAATGCCTCCATTGTACCTTTGCTCCAGACTTCAAGTCTTTAGGGAACTGGATTTTACCAGATATCTTGATGCTCATACTCACCTTCAGCAAGTCAAGGAAATAGCCAGAATCCCATGCACTTACTTAGAAGCATGAAGAGAGATGAGACAAAAGAGTGTAGATTGTCTTGATCATAAGGAAATTCTGGGTGGATGACTACACCATACTTAATGTTTGGGCCACTTGAACTAAACTCTATGC